GTGTGTGTGTGTGTGTGTGTGTGTGTGTGTGTGTGTGTGTGTGTGTGTGAGACACACACACACACACAGCCGACGTCCCCTCTCACTCTGTCGCTGCTTCTCACCACAATTGCTCACACAATCTCTCTCTCTCTCTCTCTCTCTCCCTCGCTCGTTCGCTCGCTCACAGCGCTGTTATGATATCTCCTGTGCAAATCGGTTGTTCGCCAGAGAGTTTTGCAAAGGTTTCAACTCAGGGCAGACTCAGAGTGTGAGTATGCCCTCTCGCTTCCAAATGTGTCCAAGAAAGAAATAGATATCTTCCTCCAAAAAAAAGAGATATCTTGCAGATTCTGCTGCTGTGGGGGCACAATTGCACGAGGACTTTTTCGGCTGAGCTCTGGACGTGATTGGAGTCCAGTGCATCCCACCGTAGCCGGATCTGAACCAAATCAAATCTTGGACACAGCATAGGGTTATCAAGATGAATAAAATTAAAAAAATGGATAATTTGCAAAATACCCCCATAAGTTGAGGTCTACGCCAAAATGTCCCTGAAAGATGTGAGATGAGCCGAATGTCCCTCTGACCAGAAAATTTTCTTGGTGAAATACCCCTGACTTCCGTTGGACCCCCCATCTTCGCAATATACCCCTACTCGGTACCGTCCAACTTTCTAAAATGCCCCACATTTGCCAACTTTTCCAAGGCCCCATTGCAAAAGACCAAGGCCCAGATTGCAACTTTGCACACCCCCTGACAGGGGCATAACACAAATTTTGACCGAAAAGGGCATTCTGCTCTCCCCACATCTTTCAAGGGGCATTTTGGCATATATTTAAACTTATAGGGGTATTCTGCACATTTTGCAATGAACCCAGATCGTGAAGACAATTGTCAACAATCCAAGTCCAAATGAGTGTCAACCAGCTGATGATTATCAATAATCGTGTTCGTGTCCCGATACCCAAGAGAAGAGAAGACATACACATACGAGGTAGATGAGAGGGAGGAAAGACTTAGAGTGGGAAAGATAGAAACAATGCACACTGCTTCTTCGGGTTCCCTCCGCAATCACCACCTCAATAATCAATAATCTCAACGAGTATCTGAAGTAACCTCAATGTGCCATGTGGCACGTCTAGTCAGTCCCTCATCAATGCTGGAGCAATGTCGACATGAAGACAACCAGGTAAGTATCCATGATCTCTCCACAATCATGATCTCCTCCCGAGTGACGATGAATCAGAACAGCAGTGCCAGTCACGTAGCCCAGCCACGTCAGAAGATAGAACACGTGGCAGCGGCCACGTCAGCAGCAACGCGTGGCAGCTGCCACGTCAGCATGCCTTGAAGACAATAGCCAGCCAGCCACCATGCCGAGCTAGCAGTGCGTCGCCGAAATCTCCCAAGTTCCAGCACAAAGCCAGCGCCCACCAGCGTCGCCGCGTCCAGCCAGCGTCGCGTCGTCAACGCGTGAAGTCAGCATTGAGGCAAGACTGAATGAATGTCAAAGCCAGGAAAGTCAGCGCTTATGTAGCGTTGACTCGGGGTCTGGGCCCTGGATGCTACCACCCTCAGCCGTCCAGATCTCGATGCAAACTAAGGCCCAGATTGGTCTGAAACCAAATTCCCTCCGCCCTGGATGCTTGTCTGGGTACCTGCGCACAACAAGTGAGTGTATCCAACCAAGGGTCTGGGTGCGGTACCTTTGACTCTACAGTTGACTTTGACCCTTGAATTTCCTGTGTGCAGCGTTACGTCACACAGCCAAATGTGACAAACTCAGGCCTGGGCGTGTCTTGGTCACACAGCCCAGGGCAGACCAACTCAGGTCGGCGTTGCCTGGGGCTGAGTTCTGGGCCCCAGGCTACTTCTGAACAGGGTTACTGCAATTATCCCCATAAATCATAATAAATATCACAATGAATCCGGAATCTGCTTTGAATGATGCATTCTGCAGATGGAATTTAAAAATTTTAGAGGCCGGATGACCACTGGGGCTAGGTCACAGTAGCAAAGCGGATCAAAATAAGAACCTGAATCTGGATAGGTTCTTTGGGGAGATGCAGAAAAGAGATCAATCACGGTTTTTTGCATCTGTCCTCCAACAGGTCCAGATTCAGGCATTGAATCCAATCATCTTTGCTAGTGGGACCTCGCCCCTGGTATTCTCCAATTATGCTCTGACTATGTACAGCGTTGGGCACTGGGCCCCTATGTTCAAAAAATAAAAATTAAAAAAAGCAGCAGCAGCAGATTCTGCAGTAGATGCAGCAGAGCCTCCATTCGTTTTTTTAAATCAAATCACCTGCTGAATCAATCAGCCCTGAAATTTCACCCGAACAGACTACAGCCAAAAAATTGACTCAGGTGTACAAAATGCAACTCTGACTGGGCTGTAACTCTGACTGGGCTGTGGGGGATCGCAGTCGTGCAGCTGCGATCAGTGCTGGGCAGTGCCAAAACCTAGGGTTGGGGTGGCGGAGGTGGTGGGGGAGAAGAGGCATGTGGGTGCAGGGTGGGAACTGCCTTTAGGAAGCACTGAAATGCTTCTGCCATATCCTGGTCCCAGTCGGTGTATGCCGGCATTCCTGGAGAGACTACGGGAGGAAGGAGGAGATGTGTGGTGGTCCGAAGGGCAGGATCTGGGCGCCGCACATACCAGTATGCAAAACCTGTCAGGGACTTTGTCCCCTGGCTTCGATACGGAGTCAGAAGCTGAAGATTCACGGGGAGATGAGAGACGCGTGTGCATAGACGAGCGCCGGCTTCCGCGAGAGCAACACTAGAGCTTAGTTGTGACCGGTATCACCCACCGTCGTTGACAACGGGCTTTAAGCTGCGATCAGCTCCGCTTTGCGTTGCTGATGCTCCTACTTCGGGTGTCGTGTAGCTTGCGAACTCTTCATCCTTACTTAGTTCTTTTCGCTTGTACAGATTATGAGGGTTAACTAGTTCACGTTGGTGTGTGTAGTGGGTATTTGGTTTTCGTTTCTTTGCCTGTGAGCTAGTTAGGGTTCATTTGATTGTTTAGCTGTTTTTTGGGTGGAATTCTGTTGGTCTTTTTGAGTGTTTAGGATTGGAGGTGTAGATTTCTGGTTGCATTTCCGTTTTGATGGTTTGAGTTGGTCTGTGTTTTAGTGTTAGGGTTGGCGATGTTAATTTGGGTGTGATGTTAATTAGACTTAACTAGGGTGTGACTTTGCAGGCTAACGGGTGCTCAGCCGCGGTGGGGTTAATCCAGGCAGGAGAGCCTGGTTCATCCCTGCAG